TGTTTCAAGAGAGGAGCGATCCGAACACAGTTTATCACTAACATCTTATTGTATCAGTCCATGCGTATCCAGTCCGGCTCTCAGTGGCAGTGTGATTGCTATATTATCCGCAAGGGATACATTGGCAATCACTCCTAATACCCCATCATTAACATCATTAACTGACGCAAGGCTGATTCTATGAGCAGAATCCGCACTTTGACGCTTGGAATTATCCTGCGACTTCTTCTCAAGAACACCTTTAGCCTTAACATTGGCCATCTGTGGGCATTAAGCTACCTTATGGCCTGAAGCACCACACTTCAGGCATAAATTGGCTTGGCGTTTTTTGTAGAACATTACTTGAGACACTCAGCTTCTGTGATAATGTAGGCCCACCGCCTGCAGAAGCCGAAACAATAGGATGATCTTTCTTCTGAGTGTTTCCTAGGGTAAATTGGACTTGTTCGTAGAAAGATTCCCCACTCTTGAAGGGACGTTGATGAGTACGACGTTATTTGGGTCGTGGAATGAAATCCTCTTGCGAGGTCTCATCCCTTGATGTCTTCTCTGGACGAGAGTTTGCAGCATTTATAGCAGCAGCGGGCTTTTCCTTCTTAGTATAGTCGAATCTATCAACACCAAAATACTCGTCGATGGTACCACTACTGTTGGCAGTCACAAAGTCCGGAAGTAAATCAATACAAGCCGTTTCAGACTTCGCCTTCTCAATTCTTTTTGCGAGTTCATTAACACCAACATTACCTGCCACTGAACGCACAATCAAGGCGAGGATCTTCCTTCGCAAAGCGAAAGTGAACTTAATAGCAGACATGTCACTACTTGCTTCATCACTGAACGACGAGAGGGGAGCAGCCAACCTTCTTTCTTCACTGAAACCACGCGTTAATGGTATCCGTCGGAATCTCAAAGACGCCCATCTACCCAATAATAGAACCGGATTGCTCACTCGGGGGGATTCTGCTTCTTGAGACTCCCTTCATCTCTTTACCAAAGCACGATAAAGAAATTTGAGCACTTCCAACCATTTCACAAAATAGTCATGGACAAGCTCAGCATCATACCCATCTCTACCAACTTCTTTTCTAATTTTAGCCTAAAGTACAAGCTTGGAGTCCGCACCAACGTATTCCTCACTTCCATTAGTCTTCATAAGTAGAATATGGAGCTTTTCCTTCAAGGCAGCATCCACGACTGTCTCAGGGAGATAAGCAGCTAAACCGACCAACAATAGTGGCCAATTCGGACCGGACACCTTTGCAGTGGCAAAACTCAGCTTTTGACGGAGGGCGTCATACTTGAAGTAGCATATCCTTCTTCTGGGCCAAA